ATGAAACGTTTCTTTGCCTTGAGTACTTTAAAGGAGCCAAACTTCTTACTCAATATTCTCCATAATATTGGAAATTAAAAACACGAATTAGAATTCAATATTGGTCTATTTCAATCAATATTGATGTGATTATCATTCCGTGAAAATATCCAATAGTTAAGACATAAAAAAAAACAAATATAATCAGTACACGAGTCGTGTATTCTATGGTTTCGGGTGCCATTTGTAATGAACAACACAAAACATGTCCTACAAGACAACGCGGAAGTAATTAGTAATGATAAAATAATAATATGATAAAACCCCTGTGGAATGGACTTTAAAAGTAGGCATAATCGATTCTCGTTCAATTTGGACTGTTGACGTATTCTAATTAATTAGAAATTACAATAATACTTTAAAAAATTGAATGTAAATCACTTTATATACATTTATATTACATTAATATGTGGTTTTAGACTCATTTTCGTCTATTTCAAGGTTCCAAAGAATGGAGCCATACGCCCTTTAAACATTCTATCCGGCTCAGACTGTAAATATTTGTATTTGTAATTTAGGGCACATATTTTTAATATAAAAAAAAACATCAAATGTATAAGTCTTCGTAACTTCTACAAATTGTCACAAACGCGGTCTTTCAGTCTTCAGATTATTCAACAATTAATTGAGAATAGTGTACATAGAAGCGCTTCATATTCAGCGATAACAACAATATGATCAAAGCGTATTGATATTGCCAAACATATGTATATAACCTAACTGTTAATATGAACATTTTTCCGAAATAAGGTTCTAGACGACATAGATTTAGTTATTTAACTTTTTAGAAAAATTGGACCTTTACCTCAATTTCCCTATTATTGTAATATAATTTGCCTGCTTTAGTCGGTGTTATTTGTATCTACTTATTTGTATGGACTTGTTCTTCTCTTAATTATGTTACGTCTGAAATATTTGAGAGGTATTTTACAGAAGTCGGGATATCAGGAGTGTGTCGTTGTGAATGTGCAGTCCCTCAGGATTTTCACTTGCCTGTTGAAAGAAAATGTTAACTAAAACAGAATCCTTTCCAAATCACTACCATGGGCACCCAAAATAAAAGGACAGACGACCAATATCTGTCCAACACTATTTCGATACAAAATTGTAATTTCATTTTTTTAAGTCGCGTCGTGGTGACGTCAACTCATAGTCTTGCCATCTTTATTTTCATTTCTTTATAAACTGCCCATAAATATTTTAACGCCCCCCCCCCCCCCCCGAAAAAAAAAACAATTAAAAAAAAAATAATGTTCTTCTGCTTCAAAATGAGAGGCGATTAAAAACTGAATTTAGCAAAATACATATAACATATCTGATAGATGCGCCAAAGTATACCAAACATTAAGTCAATATGGATTCACACTACCCCCACAAAAATGATTAGAATCGAATGAGAATTAATATATAATGTGGATTTGTCTTTAAAACAAATATTCCAGATATATTTCAATGAATAAATCTGGTAAATGTTGCGCAAAAAAAACTTTTTAAGACCCTTTCTTCTGATATTCCTGAAGCAATGGCCCGAGAAATTCATCTCTGGCCATTGCTGGGTTGGCTTCTGATACTTGAGCTTTTGAGGGAGTGTGTCTATTCTTCCCGTTCAATCAAATCTATCAAAACGACAGCCCTTCGTTTGATCGGAGGTCTTTCCTAAAACTTTGGACATTGATTTAAGGTATTAAAACGGTGAAATTATTGTTCGTTTCCAAACACTATTGTTTACATTGTATACGTATTGATAGCCTCGTTTGTCACGCAATTAGTTTTTATGCAATATTCTGCTATGCACTGGTTAATTGGGTATAATAAAAACGCGACTTATGACGTAACGTTATATAAACATATTTAAAGCGTAATGATATTGTTACGCGGTCAGCTATTGGTTGTTTATCGGACTATTGACCAGTCATAATTTTAAACAGAAATTTGCTTCCATTACAGCAGTGTTGAGTGGGATTAGCTCTAATCAAACGAAACACTGCGAGGAGTATGTTTCTTCTAGTCTCAAGCAATTATATGAAGTTCTGCCTCACATGCCCCAATAAAGACTAATGTTCAGTATTCGGATAGAGCTGGATAAACCCCACACTTTTTCGTCCCGTTTACCACATGACAGCTCTACGGAAGTAAATTTACCCCCACGAACTGTTTTGTTCAGTAATTTGAGTTTATATTTCTACCATAATGGCGCCGACCAGCACGGTGTTAAATGCCATTTTATTTCTACCATAATGGTGCCGAATAGCAGGGCGTTAAACGCTATTTCATTTCTACCATTATAAAGTAACCGACAAAGAGGAAATACTTTTTTCAACATTATTATTTTAAAATGCAAATAACAATAATAATAGCACACCACAAGCCCAAACTCAGAAGACAAACCCGTGGACAAGACACAAACGGGCATTTTAAGTAATAAACAATAATGATACAATCATAAAAGTGAAGGGTTATTTCATTTAGTTTTTTGTTCAACTCTATATTTTCTTGTTGAATTATAAGTGAAAAGAATATTGACAAATCCAGGGGGGGGGGGGTAACGGGTGGTAAATTTAATGTAACACAATACATAAAAGTCTATGATGACTGACTTCTTCTAGATGTAAACTAATGGATATTATATTTTTCAGTAAAATGCAAAGTTACTAAAGTTAGTTGCAGATTTCATTTAAGAGAACGGATGGGCCACAATCGACAGATTGTAGTCCATAACTAAAATGAAACGAACAATATTAGACATAAAAGACCCACGCACAGGTCAAAGGTTTTTTTTTACTGGTACCTAGAAAAGCGAACCTCCGCTATATTTGGGGAAACTGGTGCTCAATGATTTAACCACTCTTCTGGCGCTTCTATGTTCGTGATACCACCCAAGACGGGGGCGGATGTAAAACACTAGTAATATAGTAGTGGTATTAGTAAGTGCAGAGCCCGTGAAAGGGGAGGGGGTAGCTTGAATACTTGTCCAGGCGCCCGGATCCCGAAGGGCCCGGAGGTATGCCGAATAGGCCTAATTTTAAAAATTTGTTGGTATAAATTAAGAAACAATTCCACTGTTACTTGTTCGTAAACAATCTTATTTAAATACTGATCTATATTCCGTTTCGTTTTTTTATACTTTCGATGGCCTACGCTACATACAGATCTGACGAGTTCTAGTAGAAGGTCGCGTCAGGGGTCGTATCAGCGGTTTTTGACCCTATGACATCAGGCATTGATTAATCAATCAGCATTGACGTTTCTATTGGTTTACCCACAGTTCCGTGCATCGCACACCAAGAGCTGGCCGAACAGACCGTTTTATTGTCTAATTCCTCACTCCGACCAGAACGCGTGTTATATAACAACTCTTTCAGATCCTAGTGTTGTGTAGACAAGTAAAACAAAATTTTGAACAATAATCAGATTGGTTCGTAAAGTATAGAAAAACCCGGTGAATGTGGGTAGAAACCTTGTAAATGTGGGTACCTAGTATTAGAATCGGATTCTGTCAGTCCACTTTTTTGGGGAAAAATTATTGAATTGAAAACTATTTTTCCACCTGCCCGGGAATTCGCGCTGTTGGGCCCCGGTTCTCGTTCCTCGTCAGCGCCGGTTTATCCGATCCCCTTCGGTTTGAATCCAGTCGAACATGATTTGTACTTGAAAACGATAAGAGAATAACTGTCGAAACGTATCGTGCTATATGTGTATAAACCAGTGATTGTTTTACATGGTTTTTTTTAACGTACTCTATCGCTAAATGCCACACAAGAATTATGATTTTGGATATTAATCCAATATGTGATGGTTACGTTTTTTGTTTTTTCATTTGTTTGTTTGCGTAAAATTTCCTGTGAAAGTCGTGTGCATCTGATTATTATTACATCAGTAAAACCAAAACGTAGTACATGAATTTGGTAGTCATATTATATTATTGTGTTAAACCTCAGTTTCTGTGTTTTAGCAAAGTGACCCCCAGTTACACCAGATATACGCCAAAATGACGCCACAGACCATGTATCTTTCATACAATTTCGAACCCGGGCGGAGAGACCCCTCCCCACCTCACCGAGTTGCTTGTCCCAGGGCCCGGTTCGCCCTTTCGCGGTCCCTGTGTAAGTGCAGTCACTGCTGCCCGTCTCCAAATTATGCATGGGTGACTAAATGAATTAATGAGGTAAACAAACAATGCCAAAATAGAAGGAAAAAATCCCAAATACTTAATGAATACATCTGTGTATAAGTATGATTGCTTTGATTGAGTATCAAATTCACAATACGCGCTAAAAGTTCGTGTAGTTTCCATATATGGAGGTTTTAAGACGTTATAAATGTTTTCTGGCCATCAGAATTCTGCAAAATCTTCCTCCAAAGTCTAGGAAATGGCATTTCAGGGACTGTAGATTCAAACATTTCTCCGCGGGAGAATACAAGAAACTAGTGAAGCTTATTTCTGACGACATTTCGACGAGGGTTCTTTTGTCTACATCAAGCAAAGATAAAGATGAGAGAACCTTTGTCGAACCGTTGGCAGAAATCAATTTTTTAAGAAACTTGAAGATAATAGTTGTAGAACCAAATATAACTCCCTTTGGGTATTGCTATATGATGCTGTACGAGGCCTTGACATTAAACGAAGGGTATAAAAATATCTTGTATGACGGTGCCGGGTGTGTGATGGACTGACGGAGAGCATCCCCGCCTGCGTTTCAAACTATTTTGACCTTTACATTGAATGGGTGGATATATATTTAAAAATTTGGGAAGAATTGGTCGAGTGAGATATGCAGCATTCGTCTCCGCTGTTTTGGGCTTTTATACCGCATCTATTAAGAACAAATATATTTATCCTTCGACATTATAAGAAATTATTACGGCGGCTAGGTTTTACGGAGACTTGAATACCTTCTAAAGTATTTTCCGATATTTGTATTGTCTTTCTCATTGTATGATATATAAAATAGTATATTTACCAATAATAGTCTCATTTTAATATTAGTATAGTATCCAGCAAATATAATCCATTGCGTTTCTTCAGTGGTAATCCATATTATGAAATAACGTCTTTCAAATTGAGACACCCACGTGGGCAGCAGTGTTGAAATAGAATCACACTGTCACTAGGTATTTACAGGCAATTCTCATTTTAAAAATACACAAATGCCAATGAAAAGGGGATCACACTAATTTTGAAAACATTATTCCATAATTTGCACAACAAAGTCTAAAACTATTTCCAATTTACACACTTTTTGGTTTACTTATACCAAAAACTTTTCCCGCCTTTCTCGTGAGAATAAAAACAATAGATATATTTGGTAGATTATAAATACAATGCAAATGATAACGGTATTTGTAATTCCCAGTAAATGTAAAATATAATACACGGTATAATACAGTAATAAATGTTGACTAGATTGTCTTATTGGCAGTGTTGTATCTGGATTATGGGAAAATCCGATAAATATAGCGCGGAAGTTCAAAGATAACGTCTTGTGATATTAGCGTACGGGGGGGAAAAATCTGCACTCGTGTTTGGAGTGGACGCATCATGTGAATCTACATATTATCTTACTATAAATAGTAGCGATTACATTTACACGTTTAGTAAGGGAATAGTGTATTAAAAGACCCTACATTATATTGTACAAAGCTCGATACAGGAAACAAAATAAATAAATGGTGTGCTAGTTATTATTCGGCGAAATTCAGTAGATGCTTTAATCAAACTAATGACATAAAAACGCACGCCATCTTAATTTTAAACTACTTGATCCATTACTATGGATTGTGATTAATATGTATCAAATACTCTAGTGTAAGCATATTCTCCCTTGCACGGCACCCGCCACTACTTTAAGCGATTTAGTATGGACTGGTTATTATATGACACGCGATGTTAATAATTAAATCGGCATAAGGTAAGATTAGATAAAGCGCTGACAGTTCTCACTATAATAGTTAATACCGTTGTTACGATAACAAAGTCTCGATTATCCCTTTTTCCGGTAACCGCATCCAGCAGAAAACGTATTTGAATCCACTAAATATCGCAGGCATCTGATGGCATCGAAAGTTGATTATGGTCTTGGAAAGTTAATTAATGTCTAATTATTAATTTAGATAACATTCCAGCCCTAAAGAAAGACCTGCATTAGGCAGTTTTAGCTCTTGCATAAGGCGCACACTATTTATTATCTAGTAAATTTGGGCGCGCGCCGAAAAATAACAGCACACGCCAGATTTGTTTTACGTTCTCTGTGTCCCTAACTGGTATCCGTAGCATATAGGTAGTGATACGTGTAGAAATCACCAGGACATCATTTAATCCATCATAAAACCCGTCATTCACACACGCTTTATTTATAGAATGTTTTCAATATAGCCAGGTGAGTAATAATTGGTCGAAGAATGACTTTGATTAAATAAAAGTCGTGACTTGAGGGTTCGTGTACTTTTATTTATTGACACATGTAATAGTTGTTCCCTCTTGTTACGTTTTTAAACGTTAAGAAACATGCGGGGGTCTTGTTTAAAAATTGACACGATCTCAGCTCAGCATGTGACCAAATTTAACTGCGGGAGAGTAATTTGTTATACATGTATATATTTGTTTAATTTTAATATAAAATACGACTACTGACAGAACAGTATAGCAGTTGAATAACTGCTTGTCATCTATGTTACATCGGTAAGAGAAATACCAGTCCAAAAATTGTTCTAACCCGTTCAGTTATACAACGATGAATATTTAAACCAGTACTCATCGAATGCAGATTGTTCTATTAACAACTGAGATGATTTTAAACTGAATACAGATTTTATATATACTGATAAACTGCTCACTGAATACAGGTTGTAATCTACCAACCAGTGACAGGATTATGTGTGTGTTGGGCTAAATCTGTTAATAGTTCAATTTGGACTGTTCACGTATTTCACCAAACATAATTAAAAATTTTAAACATTGAATATAAGTTTATATAAGTTCATATTACATTAATAAGTATGAGCTTTTAGACCCATTTTCAACTATTTTAAGGTCCCATACGCCCTTTAACGCCCGCTTTCACCCAACCGATATAGCCGACAATGACATATTATACATGTATATACATATCTGAACTAAAACGGGCGATTGGATGACCGAATGGTTAGCGCGTGCGCGTTGCATCATAAGGTCTGTCATTGGGTCAACTGGCAAGGTTTCGATTCCCCGGCTGTACGTGACAAGGAGTAGGTTCGCCTGTCAAACCTCGCGGGTTTTCTCCGGGTCCCCCCCACGACCAAAGGCCCCTACTCGCAAGCGAATTATTGAAATAAAACAGAACCATATGTTAGTCCCGAAATGACATAGTTTGTGTCGAGTGGACGTTAAACTCTCTCTCTCTCCAGTAATCAAGTGTTTTAAAAGTTATCAGGTACTATAATTTTTTTATATAATATAAAAGATTATGATATTAATTAAAATCTGTCAAGATTGGATTCGGATTTATTTAAAAGCACATTAGTCTGAAAGCACATTGACCAATTTGATGTGGAGTAAAATGGAAGCGGCATATTCATGGTTAGGGTTAGAAATAACATGCAATAAGATTATCGTGCCAATTGTATTTATGGTAAATTGGGTTATACAGCCATTGTCTTGGCGAAACATGCGCTTTGTCACGTTAAAGGACAATATTGGTGCCAGCCATTTTCACATATTTGATAGAACAGGTTAAACACATTCCAAATATTATTTTATCACATAGATCATTGCTACGATAGGGGCGTAATAAATGCTTCAACAATCGGAAATGACGAACGCAAAAGGAAAACACGAGTAATCCCTCTATATAACTGATTGAAGTGACGGGTGATAACAGGTACATGGGATTATTTCTGCCCACTAATAATTCCTTCGAAGACCAAAAGTTGTTATATGAGACTGTAAGAGTATATCTGACAATTCAAAAAAGTAATTGAATGTCATTAGATAAGAGAACACGAATAAAGTAGAAACAGTCCGTACATTCACGCGTGTTTATTTATTCTATCCCTATAAAAACATGGTAATGCACGGACTTTTTCTATTTTTCTTTCATGTTCTCTTATCTAGTAACTGTCAATTTTTTTATGAATTGTCAGATATCCTTTCACAATCTCACACAACAACTTTTGGTCTTCGAAGGGATTATTAGTGGGCAGAAATTCGCCCGTGAATTCAATCAGTTATATAGAGGGATTACTCGTGTTTTCCTTTTGCGTTCGTCACTTCCGATTGTTGAAACATTGATTCCACATCAATCGTAGCAATGATCTCTGTGATAAAATAATGTTTGGAACGTGTTTAACCAGTTCTATCACATATATGATAATGACTGGCACCAATATTGTCCTTTAAAGATACATTATTCAAGAGCATTGTCAATTGCAGGTCTTTCTTTAGGCCTTAAATGTTATATTATATTTAATTAATTAGACATTTATTATCATGACAAGACCATAATCAACTCTCGATACCATCGGATGAGCGAGATTTTAACTAGATAAGTATGTGTTTTGTTGTTATATTTGAACGGTTCGGCCATTTAATGATTTAATTCAAAAATGGAGGAGCGAGTAATATACCAGTACTGTGGTTACGATAATAAAAAATAAATACGCACATCTTGTCAAAACTACAGTGAAATTTTCAACATATTCATTTTGCATTATCAATTTTTGAACTATTCTAGCAAGAACAGACAGCTCTGTATCTAAATCTTACATAATGTATCTTTAAGGTGGTTTAAATTTACATGCTTGTAGTATAACAATACGTTGACAATTATAATAGATGTGAGATATCCAGGTCAAAGATTATTTAGTAGGCGTTTAGAATCCAGATAAATCAACATAGATATATACCAGTATAAAAATAAAGATATGACTTTTGTCATGTAGAATGTAACAGATCAGTTCAGTAGATAACTAATTTAAATTCACTGATCACGTTCTTGTATATCTGGCAGGAAGCAGGGTCGCCTGCCAAAGCTCGTTGGTTTTTGTGAGCTAAAATGCCCGGCATGCAAGCAATTTATTTAAAGGAGCTAAATCGCTAACATTTGGGACCTAGAAATTGACAAAAGTGGGTCGCAACGCATATAATACTGAAATATGAATGTATATAAACTGATTTACATTCAATGGTTTCCGTTTTTACTCCAATTTCAAATCAGTTATGTTCGGCGAAATAAGCCAGCAGTCTCAAGCGAGTGCAAATTTCTAGCGTCTGGTTATTCCAGTCTACATACGCCGTTTGATTTGGTGCAATGTGTCTAGCCTCGTCCCTCGAGTCTCTTGATACAACTGGGGCTGAAGCGCATTATGGTACACGATTCGTGTACCAATGGTAAAATGTTTATTTTGTCTTAAATATTGGATATCAAAAGACCATCTTTTTCCGGTAAGATCACAACATGAATGTTGATTTAATTTGACAAATAAATCGGGTTTTCAATGTCGAAGATTTTGGATGATATTGAGTTAGCGCTACTTTAAATAAAAATATACGATACGTTGGTCTCAAATGACCGTGTTCATGTTGGATGGATGTTAAGTCCCATTATCACTTCATATCATAAGAGATTCATTCCCTTAAGTTCATTTAATAATTATTAACACTACGTAGAACTGACTGACCAATTCCCCCCCCCCCCCCAAAAAAAAAGTGAAGAAAATACCCAACAGTGAGGCTGGTGTTCCCCGTCGAAATCCAGACATAAATAGATGACGCATATTAATCAATTGCACGTTTATCTTTTTCAAAAGTATTGAGCAATCAAACTGATTATCAACTATACACGAAGTCTCAAAGAAATTGTTTAACTATGCCTAGCTTTAGCGCGGAAATGTTAATCATTAAAGTCAGTGAAGACATTCACCTAATGAACATCAACATCAAGTTTAAACATTCTAACTGAATTAAAAGCAGAGTTGTTATGTTCCAAAGTCTTGACAAATCAAATTACTTATCGCTATTTAGCCTAAGCAGAAAATTTTCATCATTAAACTTAGTCAATGTATTGATATAATGAATCTATATTCAAGAGTTTCATAGCTCTCACTTAATTATAACCAAAGTTATCATGTTCCAAAGTCTCAACCAATCAAATTGCTTACGCCCTCTGGTGTAATAATGTTGATAATTCATTATATTTTTCTGGACGTTTTCATTTCAAGATTTTAACTTCAAGACTTTTTGAAACGTAGAAAATATTTTCATAAGAGTTCAAATTCCAGATTTTTTTTTAGATACTTTCAGAAACCAATGAATTGATTTCTTTGTCGTGTAAAATTATTTTTTAATTTTAATATTTAATGATATATAAAAGTTACCGATAAA